AGAACTTTAGTACGAAACCAATCCAAATACGGAGAGGTGTAAGACAGGTTGACGTTATATCCCCGAAACTCTTCACCGCTGCATTGGAAGACGTTTTCAAGCTACTAAACTGGAAAGAATACGACATTCACACCAATGGCGAGTACATCACACACTTTCGATTTGCCGACGATATAATTCTTACGGTATAATCGCTGGAGGATCTAAGCTTTATTCTCAATTACCTCAATAGTGTCTCCCAACGGATAGGTCTTAAGATGAACATGAACAAAACAAAAATAATGTGTAATTTTCATGATACACTTATGGCGGTAGTTGTTGGGAGCACCAAGCTCAAAGTTGTTGACGAGCACGTTTACCTGGGACAAATAGTCCCACAAGATAATTCCAACTTCGACAGCAGCGTTATGTTCATACCGCGGCAGCGTTATATTCTCACAGGACACATATTCTCGTCAGGTATACCTCAAAACCTGAAACCTAGATGGTACAACCAATGCGTGTTGCCAGAGATGACTTATGGATCTGAATCGTGGTCCTTCACTGCTGGCCATATGAAGACGCTCAGGGTCGCTCAGCGAGCTATCAAGAGGGCTTTACTCGTGGTTTCTCTGCGTGATAAACTTAGAAATGAGGATATCCGTAGTAAAACCAGAGTAACCGACGTAGCCCAACGTATTAGTAAGCTGAAGTGGTAATCGTATGGCCATAAAGATCGAAGAACCAATAACCGATGTGAACAAAAGGTTCTCGAGTGGTAGCCTTGTACCAATAGGTTATGTGTAAGGTGACCTTCCACTAGATGGAGTGACGACCTGATTAGACATGCAGGAAGTCTATGGATGCAAGTGACTCAAGGCGTCCTTTTTGGCATTCTTTGGAGGCATATGTTCTGCCGTGTACTTGTAAAGGGCTGTAATGACTAATGAATAAGAACATTAAAAGTACTTAGATATAAAGCCTTTAAAACAAAACGTATTCAAAGTAACTAACTTAGTTTAAACAGCAAGAATTTATTTTTAAATATCAATATCAAGAACTCAAAAAGAAAAGTTTATGGGACTTTAAAGTAATATTGCTTCAAGAGCAGTAGGTATTAAACGGGAGGAATAATATTATTTCGAAAAGTTTTAAAAAAAATTGTAGAAAGGATTGTGGTACTATTTTGAAGTGTGGTAAGATATTAAGATAAGTGTAAATGGTTTTCAAGAACTGCCGATTGCAAAAGAGGATGTTTGTTTGGGAGTTTGGGAAAGAAATTCGTTTTGAGAGCGTGTTATCTTGATTTTTTTTCAGACAATGTCTAGTTTACTAATTTGTTCATCGGTTGAAGGTCACATATTTTCCTGTGGGTGTCATAAGAGGTGACAGAGGGAGACAGGCAGGAGATGGGCAGCAGCATCTTCAGGATTACAACAATAATATAATAAAAAACTGTGGCTGTCAACCCGCTGGCAAAGCATGGCAACTATGGCAAATATCCTCCCCCCCCATGAGCAACGACGCAAACAAACGGCCCCTAGTCTCTGGCGGCCCCGCTATTTCTAGCTACGGTAAAGATCAAGGTAACGGCGGGGCAGGGGGTGCTAATAATCTCCGGTGGAGGTTCAGTTGCTACCTACGACGACTCATCCTGGCAACATATAACGCACACTTCCTGAAGACTGATGATAAGATACTGGAGCTGGAAGAAGAGATGACAAGTTGCGCTGGCATATTATCCGAGGTGCGAACAGAGGGGGAGGAAACGGTCATCCTCGAGTCCGGCAACTCGTTCTATCACCGGGAGGGCAACTATCTGTCCCAAGGAGGTGTCGAATCACAAGTCTCTCGTCAACAAGATTGTAAAGATTGGGAGTGTGTCGACGAGGGTCGCGTACCTGATACTCAGAATCACCAAACGGTATTCGCTGAAGGTCATACAGGTTTAAGCACCAACCTCGGATCATCCCGGCGAGGAAGTGGAGGAAATGTATGAGGATATTTCTAGAGCCATGCATACTGCAAAACCCACCATACGGTACTAATGGGAGACTTCAACGCAAAACTAGGCAAAAGAGAAAGCGGTGGGCTGAAGTTTAGCGTATGGAAGCGGAATCAGCAGGGGCCAGCATCTGGTCAACTTTTTGGAGAGAGAGGGACTCTTTATGATGAACTCTTTCTTCCAGGTAGCGGCCCATAGGAAGTGGACCTGGTCGAGCCTCGACGGTTCGACAAAAATGGAATTGACTTCATTATGACGACAAGTCGCCAACTGTTCAGTGATGTCTCCGTGATCACGAGGGTGAAAACTGGCAGCGATCACCGAATGGTTAGAGGCACACTAAACTTGAACGTTAAGTTGGAGAGGTCTCGTCTAGTGAAGTCAACACTCTGTCCCCCTCGTGCGCTAATCCAGGGTCCCGAAAAGTTTCAGCTCGAATTACAAAACAGTTTTCAGTGCGCAGAAGACTGCAATATAGTGGATGATATGATTGACAAGCTTGTGGAAACTGTCCATGTGGTCGGAGCTAGATTCTACAAGACCCGCCGCAGAAGAACACAAAAACTCTCCGATCACCCTCTTTATCTCATGGATGTTAGACAGGCGATGAAGCTGCAGTCGTCAGCACATTTGACAGCATACAGGCAACTGAACAGACGGATCTCCAAATGCATGCGGCAGGACTTACGCAACTTCAACACAGCTCGTATTTAAGAAGCGATTGAGCAGAACCAGGCCTCCAAAGTACTTGCCAGAGTTCTGTCTACCAGTAAGAGCCAACAGTCAAAGCTGAAGACTGAGTCTGGCAGCATCGTTTCTGGGACACCTGAGATTCTGAGTTAGATTTAGAGGTCCTATGGGCAGCTGTAGATATCATCGTTGGAGCCACACGCAAGTGTGAGTAACGATCCAAGAGCAAGCATTATCTGACACTATTTCGATGACATCCCGGACGTCAGTCTGAGCGAGATTAGAGTGGCTCTCCAGCACCTTAAAAACGGCAAGTCCCCGGGCGAGGATGGAATTATAACGGAGCTTCTGAAGGCGGGTGAAAAACAGGTACTTAAAGTCCTTCAGATGCTCTTTAATTCCGCCCTCTATGGTGGCACTACTCCTGAGACGCGGAGCAGAAGTGCGGTGATGTTGTTCTTCAAGAGAAGTGATAACGCCCTCTTGAAGAACTACAGACCGATATCCCTTCCGAACCGTGTCTACGTGCTGTTTTCGAGAGAAGAAGACGAATCATCTTGCACGCAGACTCAACGACTTCCAGCCCCTCGAACAAGCCAGTTTTCGAAAAGGCTTTATTACCATAGACCACACACACACCCTTCGGCAAATTGTACTGAAGTCCGAAGAGTACAATGTGCCATTTTGCCTGGCGTATGTGGACTATGAAAAAGCCTTTTATTCCGTCAAAATTTTGGCAGTGTTACAGTCTCTTCAGCGGTGCCAAGTTGACTATCGGTACATCGAAGTGCTGAAGTGTTTGAACAGTAGGGCTATGATGGCTATCCGAGTACAGAACCAGAGTACGAAACCTATCCAACTTCAGAGAGGTGTAAGATAGTGTGACGTTATATCCCCGAAACTCTTCACCGCTGCATTGGAAGAAGTTTTTAAGCTACCGGACTGGAAAGATACAGTATTAACATCAATGGCGAGTACATCACTCACCTTTGATTCACAGACGATATAGTCGTTATGGCAGAATCGCTGGAGGGCTTCAGCACTATGCTCAAGAACCTCAACAGTGTCTCCTAACGGATAGGTCTTAAGATGAACATGGACAAAACAAAGATCATGTTTAATGTTCATGTCTCACCTATGCCCGTAGTGGTTGAGAGCACTGATCTCGAAGTTGTTGTTGAGTACGTTCACCTGGGATAAATAGTCAGACTAGGTAAGACCAACTTCGACCAAGAGGTCAATCGAAGGATTCAACTCGGCTGGGCAGCGTTCAGGAAGTTACGACACATCTTCTCGTAAGGTATACCTCAAAACCTGAAAACTAAATTGTACAACCACTGGTGTGGTTGTACAATTTACGGCGGTAATTTATAAAAATTGGCGTGTTGCCAGTGATGACCTATGGAACTTCACTGCTGGCCGTATGAGAACGCTTAAAGTCGCTCAAAGAGCTATGGAGATGGTTATGCTCGTGATTTATCTGTATGATAAACTTAGAAATGTGTTTATCCGAAAAACCATAGTGACCGACGTAGCCTAACGGATCTGTAAGCTGAAGTGGCAATGGGCTGGCCATATAGCTCGAAGAACCGGCAACTGTTGGGGAAAAAAGGTTCGCAAGTGGCAGCCTCGTACCGGTAGGCGAAGTGTAGGGTGACCCCCTACTAGATGGAGTGGCGACCTGGTAAGATATGCAGGAAGTCGATGGATGCAGGTGGCTCGGGACCATGCTTTGTGGCATACCTTGTGGCAGGCCTATGATCAGCAGTGGATGTAATGATGAATGGTGAATCTATCACCTTTTGATTTTCCACTATCAAAAAGAATGAATTAGTGACTCGATGGAGTCGAGTACTACCAGCTTGTGTCTGTTCCTTGTATTCACGTAATACATATTACTTACGTTTGTAAAACTACTTTTATTTTTGTGTACGTACATTATATTTTCATAAATATATTGAAAGACCAAAGTTAATATATTAATTTCTTTAAATTTTTGTCTGAGCGACTCTTTAGGTTTTAAATCATAGATTGCTCTAATAGCCCTCTTAGACTTGATCACATTATACAGAGAACGAGTGAAGTATACATATATAAATAATATTATTCACATAAATTTTATAGTAATATACTTGTACGTAGAAACCCTGAAGCACTTCCAGCAAATCGCTATTGATTTCCATTTCAAAGGTTTCTTGTAATAAGTACATCGTTACACAGTTTGACTTACATATAGAGAAAGGACGTATTAAATATTCTGTTAATGTACGTCATTCGATTACACACCTAAATTGAATAGAGTAACGAATTATAACTTATGCTTTAGGATCAGTTTAATTTAGTAAGTTTCTGTTTCGAAAATTATTCCTTTCCTAATTTAATTTATTTAAAAAAAATGTAATAAGCCATTACGTTCTGTGAATAATCATAATTAAATAAGGTTACGTTATTAAGACTAATTTAAGTGACAGGATCATTACAATTTAATATCTTCTTACAATTTTTTTTAACTTATTATTTATCTGAAACCTATGAAAAGAAGACCCTTTTGGCATATTTTATTTATTGCAGAAAATGACTAAAAATAAAAATGAAAATAAAACGAAATCAAAGACTAAACGAGTCCAGACAGAGAATAATGCAAATATTAAAGAAATTAAAAAGATTGCGGCTCAACCAGACTCACTTGTAGAGGAAGATCAGAGCTTTGGTTGTTGGCTCAGGTAAGCAATTTATTTATTATTAAAGTTTGATTATTTTAAAAGAGGTGTTTATACCGATAGTTTTGTGTCAAATTCATATTTATTACAGTTAAAAGTTACAGTCAAAAATCATTACCGATCAAAACCACTTATGAGGGCAAAAATCAGACAAAAGTAGTTTTAACGAAGGTCGTAGGTCAATACCCCTTTTAACTGATTTTTGCAGTCAAAGTAGCTTTGACTAAAGACGTTGGTCAAAACTAAAAATAAAATAATATGCGTGGCCTTTGAGCCATTCCAGCTGCACCACCTACAGTCGCTGATATTGCGAGTTTTGACCGATAGTCTGAATTTTAAATCAAGCAAAGCCACTTTTGACCAAGAATATTGGTCAAAACCATTTTTGCCTTATTTTCTCAGTCAAAAGGGATTTTGACCGGTTATGAGTTTTGACTGTAATATATACACATTTTATGGTTTTAATATTGACTCAAAATACTAAATGATGGATTTATTCCTAAAAAATTAGTTTAAACCTAAGGGGGGTTTGTTTTTATTGTCCGTTAATTTTTTTTAATTGGTTCGTAATAATAGTGTTGTATTAAATATGTATAAAATATATACTTAATGCTATAAATATTGGTTTAAAAGAAAACTGCCAGAACTTGAGTTGTGTCTCGCCAGCAATGCAGTCAGGAATTTTCATTTAGAAAATGCCAAAACTAGAGACTTTTTAGGTGCTAAGTTTAAAAATTAGGTGCTCTAAAATTTTCACAGGAACAAACTGTTGAAATTTGCGTTGCTGGCTAAACGTATCGCTAGCAACCCAATGATGATAATAAATATACGATAAATATTAAAAGCAAGGAATGAAGTGCTAATTAAGTGCTAAAAAATATTGAGGCCTGATGTAGATGACGTTAATATTCTGGAAATTATCGGGTCCAGGATTTTACCTTATTGTAAGGTATGAACAGCGCTTTTTATTCTTTATCACTTATATATCATAATTAAGATAGGTGGAATCTGTTCTATAAAAAAAATAGAAAATGGGCCGCAGCATCTTTCTGATAACACTTTAAATATTAAAAAAAACTTTTTTGGTTGTGAACCCGCCTGCCAAGCGTGACAATTATTACAAATATTACGCTATGATGCCACTCAGTGGGCTACGCTGTAATTTGGGCATTGTCTAATAAAATGTTGGCGTCGTATCCATCTCATATACATTGTCTAATAAAATGTTGGCGTCGTAACTATCTCATATACATTGCCTAATAAGTAAAAAAAAGTTAAATTTTCACTAAAGAAATTCGCAGTAGCAAAAAAGTAAATAAAAGTTACCACCTACTACCACGTAGTAAAAAAGTTGACATTATTTTTTAGAAATAAATAGAATATAAGATACTGTATCCATAAGTTTTAAAGAATAATATTAAAACTAGAGTAATTATTAATAAAGTATTAAGTTTCAAATAAACCATCTCATTAATTTTACCAAAAACAAAATTACTGTAGGCTTTATCAAAAAATTTATATACGGTACGACCGTGACGTCAATGCAAATATTGTATACATATACAATATAAAAATATTTTGTGACTATTGACACTGTAAAATTATTTTAACAAAAAGACCCGCTGGGTTTCTTGCTGGTTCTTCCCAGGACAAAGGTTTTTTTCGAACCAGTGGTAAAGTAAAAAAATGGCTTTCAATAAGAATTACAACATATAATCTATATTTAATAAAAATATTCTATTCTATTCATCAAGATCACCTAATAAACGAGATAACAATCGTGATAAATGTTTTGCGTTACCTTTTCTACCAATATTCCATGTATAACGTACTACCAACACCTAACTACATGTACCTACGTACTAATACGCCACTCAATATACGTAGACGAATCGGGGACTTAGTAATCCTACCGCAGTCTGTATTTGGATATGAATCGAAGTATGGAAAATAAATAAACGTTATCTCAGGTCGTAGTCCCTAGAGAGAACGTATGGAGCACACGTTTTCAAGTATGTAGCCGGGACATTATAAAAGGCCACTTAAAAATGATTGGATATTTAAATCTATAAGCCTACATCAAACATCGATTGAGAATCAAAATGCAAATGCGTTTCGTCCCCGAGATCGTTCATTTTACGCTGCAAATCTGTGAGGACGTCCTCCTTACCAAGTTGAGTCAACCCTCTGTTGCTGCCCATCTGCAGCGTGGCTTTAGCAGGTTATTTAGAAACAATAACATTATTATTATATTATATTCATAATTTCAATGATTAATTATTTGTTTTAGGTCACCAGATGGTCTGGAAAATATGAAGTTTTTCGTAATTGCAAACAGCATCGTATTACTAACAACATTAATGTACCCTCATATTCAACTGATTGTGGATACCGTATATGAATATTTTTATAAAACTGATAGTGTATATTAAATAATAATGGATGTGCTTTATTCTATATCATTCTTATTAATAAAACATTAATCGATGACGATTTTATCTATTTAATGACATTATATACTCACAACTCTTTATAGGTCTCCCCATAGTTTGAATCATAGAGGGGACAATTTTCATAATTGCTAAACTTCACATGCGTAATGACAGCCGCAGTTTTTATTATAATTATTATTGTTATCAGGGAGATGCTGCCACCCATCAGTTTCCCTCTGTCGCCTCTTACGACACCAACGGTACGAGTGAAAATTTCGGGAATTAAGGAAGTGACACAATATTACTATTTAAAAATGTATTTATATTTTCGAAGTATTCTCCGCGAAATTTGACACATTTTTCCATACGATGGAACCTATCATTGAAGCAACCATTCCATTCGGAAGTTGGGGTCTCCAAAATGGCCGTTTTGTAGTCGTCCACGGCCTCTTCAGGTGATGAAAATCTCTGTCCACGCAATTTATTCTTTATTTTAGGGAAAGTATAGAAATCATTAGGGCTTAGGTCGGGGCTGTACGGCGGATGGTCTAATAATTCTATATTTTCTTGCTCTAAAAACTTTTTTGTTCTGTGTGCGGTGTGAGAACTCGCATTGTCATGATGGAGGATGATGCGGCAGTTGCAGTTCTCTTTACGGAGTTCAGAAACGACCTGTGGCAAACAAATGCAAGCATACCATTCTACATTAACCGTTCTTTGTCCCTCAAGAGGAATAGTCGTAACATGGCCCGTTTTGGAGAAAAACGTGGCCACCATTTTTTTTGCAACACTCCATGAACAAACAATTTTTGTTGGCTTTAACTCATTTTCGAACACCCAAACTCGTGACTGGTTTTTTGTTTCGGGTTCGTATGCATATATCCAGGATTCGTCACCTGATAAGATGTTTTATAAAGCATTTGAGGATCCTGCGTGGAATCTTTCGAGAGTTCTGACGAACCAAGTAACGCGAGCTGCTTTTTGCTCTTCACAGAGCGAATGCGGTATCCATCGGGAAAACAACTTTTTTACATTTAATTATTCATGCAAGATTATTTGTATTTAACTCATGCAAATGTCTAAAGTTGCCTGAATTTCGCGGTATGACACATGTCGATCTTCGTCAATCAGCTTACGCACAACATCAACGTTTTCTTGGGTGACAGCAGTTTTTGGACGACCTCGACGGGGATCATCACTGAGCTTGACACGTCCACGTTGAAATTCAGCAAACCAGCGATAAATTGTGGTTTTAGATGGGGCTTAATCACTAAATACAGAAATCATCCGGTCAACACACTGCTTTTGTGTTAAACCACTTCGAAGTCATAATACATCATCGCTCTTGAATTTTCTCGAGTCAACTCCATTTTCTCAACGACTAAACAAGTTCGACAAAACCTTGTGACAAGACCGAGAATCTTTTTTTTTAAATAAATAAATGGTATTCGATTTTTAAAACCAAGGAGTTTTCAATTAAAAAGATTTTAATATGACAGGAACAGTGGAAATATTCCATTCCCGATACTTTTAGTGCAGCCTAGGTATGATATGGGTATTCTTCCAACACCGGTTCACGACACTAAATACTGAAATATTAGTGAAATAATATTTACAATAAATAATACTATCATCTTTAGAAAAAGAAAAACAATAAAAGTAAATAAAATAATATCAAATCACGTATTTATAAAACCTAGTAATACAGGTTCATTTAACAAAACTGGTTTCCAAATATCAATTTCAACCTATATTCGTTATTAACATAATTGTACGTACAAAGACCGCCCTGAAAACAAATTAACTTATTTATATTTTCAATATAAAATCAACTTCTGATTCTTCTTCTTTAGAAAATGTTTCTAAGGAAATGGATTTTTCAGTGATTGTTTATTTTTAAGTGGTAGGAAAATGTATACGTGTTTTTTTTAAAACCGTACCTACGTTGTTTTTAATAGATCCTGTAAAATAGCATCATGCTATAAGCGGGAGTGCTACCAGGCCTGGGCTGACGCATCAACGTATGAGCTCTGGTATTTACGGAATGTAAATACCAGAGCTCTAAAAAAGAAGTATAATTCCGCCTCCAGGTCCTTCAAAAGAGTCATTGCCAAGGCAAAGTCAGAGCACATAGGCAGAATTGGCGAGAAACTAGTTCACCTTCTCGTGCATTCTGGTCTCTCGCCAAGGCTGTCCAAGGGAATTTCTGTCAGCCATCTCTTCCATCTCTGCACAATGAGGACGACTCACTGGCCGATACCGCAAAGGAGAAAGCCAATCTGCTAGGCTCTTTCTTTGCGTCCAACTCGACTCTCGATGACGGGGGTAGTATGCCGCAAACCATCCCGCGGTGTGAGTGCTCCATACCAGAAGTGCAGTTCACACAGCGCTCGGTTCGCAAAGCACTCCTTTCCCTGTAAATCTATAAGTCGAGTGGGCCTGATAGAATCCCCCCAATTGTGCTGAGGACGTGTGCTCCAGAGTTGGCACCGGTTTTAACGCGTCTTCTCCGGTACTGCTACTCCCTAGGCGTAGTCCCAAAATAATGGAAGACGGCTTTTGTCCACCAGATCCCTAAAAAAAGCGACCGCTTAGATCCGTCCAACTAGCGGCCTATCGCCATCACATCCTTGTTCTCTAAAACAATGAAGTCCATTGTAAACTGCCAGGTCATGAGGAACCTTGAGGATCACCGGCTGATTAGTGACCTCCAATACGGTTTTCGCCGTGTTCGATCAGCTGGTGATCTTCTGGTCTACCTAACTCATAGATGGGCGGAGGCAGTAGAGTCCAAGGGGGAGGCATTGGCCGTTAGTTTGGACATTGCTAAGGCCTTAGATCGGGTTTGGCACAAAGCGCTTCTTTCCAAGCTCCCTTCTTATGGGCTTCCCGAGAAATTATGCATTTGAATCAACAGATTTCTTGCAGATCGGAGCATCAAGGTCGTTGTAGATGGTGCAAGCTCCGATTACAAGCCTAATAATGCTTGTGTTCCACAAGGCTGCGTGCTATCGCCAACGCTGTTTCTTCTGCATATCAATGATATGTTGCAAACCCGTAACATTCATTGCTGTGAAGATGACAGCACTGGTGATCAGCTCTGTACACCGGCCGTTCCAATATTTCTCTGGAAAACATCTCCGAGTACCGGGACAAACTTGTGTCTGAAGTCGAGGCTTTGCTGAACAGAATCTCGGATTAGGGGTGACTAAGTCTAATCCAGTTTAACCCTCAAGAGACACAAGTTTGCGCGTTAACCATGAAAAAGAACCCCTTTGTCGTATCTCCTCAGTTTCAAGGCACTCCCCTTGTTGCCTCAGCTAGTATCGGAATCATCGGCGTCGACATATCGAGTGACGTACAGTTTCGTGGTCACTTGGAAGAGAAGGCCAAATTGGCTTCTAAAAAGCTTGGCATGTTGCAGAGCGGGACAGTATTTCATGTCGGCACAACGCCTGTAACTTTACAAAGCGCAGGTTCGGCTGCACATGGAATACTGTTCCCATCTCTGGGCTGGAGCTTCCCAGTACTAGCTCCTTCCACTTAACCGCATCCAATGCAGAGCGGCTCGAATCGTCAACGACCGAGTGCTTTCCGATCGGCTCGATTCACTGGCTTTGCTAAGAGATGTTGCATCTCTTTGCGTATTTTATGGCATCTGTCACGGGGAGTGCTCTGAGGAATTGTTCGGATTAATCCCAGCCGCCAAATTTCGTGAACGCACTACGCGGCAATCGTCTCGATACCATCAACACCATCTGGATGTTTGGCGGTCCACCACTGTACGTTTCACAAGGAGTTTTCTTCCGCGTACAACCTCTCTGTGGAATAGTTTACCACCGGCGGATTTTCCGGAACGATACGACCTGGGAACCTTCAAGAAAAGAGTTTACTCCTTTCAAAAGGGCCAGCAACGCACCTGCAATTCCCCTGGTGTTACGGTTGATCATGGGCGGCGATAGTCACTTAACACCAGGTGAGCCGCATGCTCGTTTGCCCCCTCTTCTATAAAAAATTAATTGCATAAAATAACTTTAACGTCAGTGTAAAATTAAATAAATCAGTCAAAAAGAAAAATATAAACCTACGCGCTGGAGATATAATCCGCATCTTTTACCATTACATCCCATCAAACGTTCATTGCTGAACATAGGCCTAGCCTATAATATAATGCCTTATAGGGGGGATATTTCTCTTCATGGTTGCTTCACTTGATAGGCAGTTTGGCAAACGCAGTTGTTTATTTTTTTTTTGTAGTTAATTAGTAAAAAAGGGGGATTTTCGTCACAGCAGTTAATGGCCACGAAACACAATAAGCATGCAGACCACTAGTGACTAGCGATTAAGGAATAAGTTCACTATCGGTATCTGTATGTATATTGTTCACGTGGTTTCCAATAATTTGAAATAATATTTATAATAAACAATGGTAAGAAGCCGTGCTTTCTCATGGATGATTAGAAAGAAAAACAAAACATTCGTCATGCTTGCATATGCGCTCTATACACTGTGATGAAACTTATTACCTAAGGTTTTATATCATAATCTTATATTTATACTATATTTCTATACTAACGCGGTCATTGCAAAAAATGTCTCAAAGATTTAATTGCCTGAATTATTTAACCAAGTAATTAAAGATAAAACTAAAAATAAAGCAAATACGTTAATTCATAAGGCCAGTAACCATATGCAGTAATATTCTATATATAATATTTTTGAAAAGAAGTTCAAGGTCGCTCAGCAGACTCTGTAGATGGCTTGGAGTTGCTCTGCGTGATAAACTTAGAAATAATGATATCTGCAGTAAAACCAGAGTAACCGACATAAGCCAACTATTTACTAAGCTGAAGTGGCAATGGGCTGGGAATATAGTTCTAATAACCGACAACTGATGGAGAGTAAAGGTCCTTTAGTGGCAACCTCATACAAGAAGCGTGGGGCGGTCTTCCACTATATGAAGTGACGACCTGGTAAGACATGCAAAAAATCATTAATTC